CCGGACTGGCGATCCGGTCCGACTTTTACACCTGCCTCGTCCAATGGATCATCAGTCTTGGTATAAACATAAGACAAACTATCCAGATCAACTAGCTAAGAATCCTAGCAATGGAAACAATGCCTGATATTGATCAGTTGGTAGAGCATTGGACTAGTATCCCAAAGGTCGCGGGTTCGATTCCCACCGTGGTCAAGCTAACTTTGCAGCCTGCACATGTACACTCAGAGTAACATCACAAACATCATTTTCCTCTAGTATAGACTGAAGCAATGAAGTTGTGATATTTTTGACTTACTGATAACTTGTGCTCCCAGATTTAACTGGAACTCGTCAAATTGTTTACTTTGAAAAACACCAATCTGCAAAGCATATCACAATGAATTATTATACGGGCCTATCTCAAACGTGGTGGTTCAGTGTAGGTAGTATTCTACAATAAGCTGTCGTGGTTTGTGTCTGAACTACAGAAGCAAGGAAGTAAAGATTCAAACCTTTTTCCCAATGGTTTCAGTATAATCCTCTTCTTGCAAGCTTTGATTAAGAATGGTAGTCGCGTTAGCCGTAAACAATGACAGAAACACAGCAGACATCATGACCCAGATAACTGCCAAGACTCTTGCAGGTACACTTCTTGGTGATTTGTCACCGTAACTGTCATGACAGAGAAGTCTGTTGAAAACTAACTTTATACTGGATAGCTCTATCAGTTCTAAACTGTTCTTCCTTGAGGTCTAGTAAGGATCATCTCTTATTGATCCAGTGTTACTACAGGAGGAAACCTAAACTAAACTACCTTTATTTATACTGGATAGTTCTATCAGTTCTGAACTGTTCTTCCTAGAAGTCCAGTAAGAATCATCTCTTATTGATCCAGTGTTACTACAGGAGGAAACCTAAGTTAGTATACTTACCCGACTGTTGTCATAGTAACAATGGCCCACCAAAATCCTTCAAACATTCCAAAAATAAATGGACTTGGGAATTCCTCAGGGTTCTTCCAGTGGTCCTGAATGGAAGACAGATTTTGGTGTAGTAAGATATGGCATGATGTGGTGTGTGCTACAGTGTAGAATGGCATGGTGTGGTAATGTAGTATGGTATGGTATATGGTATGGTATGATATGGTATATGGTATGATATGGTATGGTATGGTATGGTATCGCTTCTCAATTATCATCAGCTCTCATCCGGGCTTAATACTCACAGCAATCCAGCCTAAGATTCCAACCAACCACGACATCGTCAACATCATCGCCAACATGGGAGTTGACTCTTTAAAAATATGGAACACCGACACTTGTTCTTTCGACTCAGGTTTCAGCATTATGACCGCTTGACCTGGCGAGCGTGAAAGCTTGACAAAATTCAATTCAAAATCGTACACAATTTTCTCCTTGCTGGTGGCGAACTCGGGGAAATAAAACACGAAGGGTCTTGGGATTGCTGTATCATTGGACATGGGCATGGCCGTAAGGGCTAGCTCTTCGACTTCCATTTCGGATGGATTCAACTTCGTGAAATTGAGGTCCATAAAATGGCAGCAATTGTTCACGGCCGCTTTAATATAAGTGTAGAAGGAGCCGTGTTTGCCAATTGATTGGCTAGTATGGTTAAATCGAAGATATATTCCAAAATAATCTTTATATCGTATTTCGACGTTGCTAACTCGGTTACACGCACGTTCTCCTGCATAGCCTTGTCCTTCGCCTCCAGTAAAACACGATATTAAAATTGCCAAGCCAAAGAGAAAAAACTTTTGCATTTTTTTGCGCGAGGTTTGGGTATGAAAACTTTGTATGTGTAGCAAATATTCACGTAAAAATTTAAACAAATTTGACAGGAAAAGCGTTTCAGTTCTCAACTCAAACACAAAATGTTAAACTTCTATAACTTTACTTTTGATCCCTGATAGCTTTTAGGTCAACTGAATGTTAGTATTTAGTTCAGCTTTTTTGGATAATAAACTTCTCTCTCTTTAATAGAGAAAGCAATCAAAACAAGCACCAGTGCATTAGCAAACGAACGCAATGCTAATGTTCCTAAGCAAATTTGTTAATTGTTTGTCGTGTGAATTAGTTGACGACTGTCCACTTTATTTGCACAACGTTGAATAAAGAAAGGCTTTTGAACAGATATACCCAACGGCACTTTCGTCGTGGAATGAACGAGTATACTATCTGTATGTTTCCGAGCACAATTTGTCTGCAAGTTCGGCTTTTTATACCGTTTCAATTTCCCTCTGTCATAAATATTCCACTAAATTACGTACTGACCGTTGCTATACACAAAACAGCTCTTCAAAGAAGCGTTACCAAACAATAAACCATGGCACAGGAACTCTTTAACAAGCAATGTAAGCCATCCAAATTCGCCTTTTCAGCCTAAAAATAAGTTTAGAACATGATAGATGAAAAGACTTCTCAGTTTAGGTCTTTAAACAAAACAACAAATTGTATAACAATATCAATGATGTATTTGCATGACATTTCACTCTGACACCTGCTTCCCAACCGGGCGCAATTAAAAGCCACACATTTCGCTCACCTGTTAGAAATACCCCAGCCAAGCACCTGCGCGAATATTAGACAAATTCAACAACAA